TTATTTTTCTATATTTACCTTTTAAACATTGTTCCTCACATTTTTATTCTTTTTTGACTCTCTACAATCTTTCTCAAAGTTATCCATTCCCATTGGCCCCCATGTTCTAAACTCTTCTGAGTTTACAAGTCAAATATATACCATTGGATTTTGCCACATAAATGACCCACTAGGACCATAAATTCAGCAGAGCCAAAACTAGATATGTTATTTCTTGCCCTGACCACACATTCCAATCATTCCCTATGTAACCTCCCTGGCACCCACATTGATCACTTGCCCATGCTTGCCACCTGGATCCTCTTCTACTTTCTGACTTCTTCCCCTCAGCTCCCACATTCAGTCACCCAATCTCTTGATTTTATATTCTCCATATTTACTGGAGTAAGCTCATTTAGAAATTAATGTATCAATGCTGAATTCTTTCCTTCTTTACACTATGACCTGAATTATATAGTAGTATCCACTAATTATGTGTTTACATGTCCCAAAATACTCTAATAAATGACTTACATGCATTGTATCATTTCATCCTTCCAATAGCCCTATTAGCTACGAACAGTATTATTTCTCATATATAAGAAGAGTAAAGCTTACAGGTGTCCAACAATTTGCCTAAAGTTACTTATATAAGTGGAAGGGAAGGAATTTAACCCACATATTTTGACTCTAAAACATGACCTCTCATACAGTGTGCCATATAAAAGAAATAGAAAATTAGCTTTCATAAGAAAAAATAAGAAACTAATTTGATAGTTCTTTTAGGAATAACTTTCCCACTTCAAAGGTTTTAAGATTCCAGGATAAATGACACTAAATCCAGCTATAAGGTAAGATGGTATTCAATCCATTAAAACAGTAGTTCTGAAATGTTTTCAGGTAGCAAATACCTAGAACTTGTGGTGTTATATGGGAAAATTTAAAATATATTAATAAACTTAATTTCACCAAAAAGACTGTAACATAAGACCATATTTTACATAAATGTCCCCACATTATTTTGAATATACAGGTTTTTCAGTCACATGAAATATATGATCCATTACTGTTTCTTTTTTTTTAAGCTGCTAGCTGAAAAACGCTAGCAATCTACTAATTTTTTAAGAATGACTATGAGGGAAAAAAGCTTAAAATTGAAAAAAATGCATATTTTTCTGTTAACTAGAAATACATCATCATTCAATTTAGTTGATCATCTTAGTCCAACCTACTGAACTCTTTCATATGAGCATAATTTGAGAACCACTGAAATAAACATTTATTAAGCACCTATATTTAAGAAAATATGCAATGTGTAATGGGAAAACAGAATAAAATATCGTGTCTCAGTTTACAAACTTACCGAGAAGAAAAAAAATTCCTTACAGGGTTTTGATTTTGTCTTCTAAGACTATAAAATGTATGAAAAATGTTTATGCTTATTACAGGAAAATTAACTATTGTAGCTATAGAATAATCATCAATGCAAATTAAAACCTATATATATGTATATGTGAGGTCTTCAAAGAAGTTACAAAATAGGGTGACACTATCAAATTCATATATTAGAAAATTTACTTTTGGAGTAATGCATTGTGAAGAAATTATAATTGCTAGTGACAACTGCTGGCCCCCTCCAGGACTTCCAGAATAATCTGTTGCTGGAAAAGACCTGTCTCACAAAATTTTGTATGTATTACTATACATACTGGTATATAATACTGGTAATACCATACATTGAAGAAATTAGATCAAGAGAAACAAGAGGTACTTGCAATAGTCCAAGTAAAAATGGGGCCCTGAAATAGGATAGTGAAGTAGGAAGGAAATAATTTGAAAGAGGATCCTTAAGATGTAGAATCACTATGACTTGACTTGACTAGATTTGGAGGTTGAAAAAAGAATCAACGATGACTCACCAAAGTTTCTAATTATGATACCTAGATGGAAGGTAGATAGGTTTCTTTTTTGGGGGGTCCATGCATTTGTGCTTGTCTCATACATAAGACTCATACTTTTCATAGTACATAAGACTATGAAAAGTTCTAAGGCATATAAAATTAGCGAGGGAATATGAAGGTGGGGAATAGGAAAAGCTGGCCTAAAATGAGGAGTAAGAACTGAAATACCAGAAGATAAAAAGCAGATGTTATAGGCTGAGGAAGATGTGGAATCCCTTATACTGCATTTAGAAAGACATAAAAAGCCATTAGAAAACTATTACTAGGGAAATGACATGGCTGATTTAAATCATTGTTAATAATTTCAGTGTCGATGAGGCAAAAAATATTTGGAAATCGTACATCTTGGTTTCTTGACAAATGCCATAATAACTATTATCATAATGGCACCAAGAAATATTTCAAATAGAAACAGAGAATTCACCCACTTAAGTCACCTACTTAAGAAAATTTTGTGTCAGTGTAGGCTGGAGTGAAAGTTTACAGTATTGAAATTCAAACTGACAAGGTAAAAGACATTTTATATGCTTTACTGAAACATTGGCAAATCTTTTTTAATATCTTAATTCAGAGGGAAAAAAAGTATTAAAGGAGACTGACTACCTGTCAGAATTTTGAAGCATTCACTATTTAAATCAAAATACTTCCTAATATGTACTGCCTCAACCCATAAAACAGATCAACAATTTATATGGCAAAATTAGTCCTGTTCTTATGACAAAAATGTACTTAGATAAACTAGTAGTCTTGTCTCTGCCCACCACCCATAGCAGAGTTTGGTCTGTTATCAATGAGTCTGTCTTAGTTTACTGGGGCTGCAATAACAAAGTACCACAAACTGGGTGGCTTAAAAAACAGAAATTTATTTTCTCATAGTTTTGGGGGCTAGTACTGTGAGATCAAGGTGTCAGCAGGTTTGGTTTCTTCTGAGGCTTCTCTCTTGGCTTGCAGACATACCTTCTAGCTATGTCTTCAAATGTGTTTATGGAAATATTCCTCACAGAATCTATAGGAAGCTTGGAAAATCAGGCTTAGAAAACGAAGCAAGAAATAATAGCAAAGAATGAAGTAAGGACATGTATGGATCTTGCCACACTGGCCTGCCACCACTGGACCATACATGCATTCTAATGCCCTGAAAAATTCCTACACTTTGAAAGGTAGTCTTTCTCATTTTCTTGAGATTAAAAGCCCTAGGCATAGGGCTTCCTTCCTATACAGAAGGACATTAGAATGCTGGATAGCAAACAATAATTTCTATTCAGTACAAAATCTACTGCCTTAATCTATTACATCTGATACATTCCAATAGATGTAAAGTTATCCAAATGGCTATATCCAAGGCAGTAAATTCACAGCCTGTCTACCAAATGAAAGCAGTCAGCTTTGGCAGTTTTTCTTTTAGGTCTTTTATGGTGGGTATTTACCTCAGGTTTAACACTGTTCCCACAACTTCCTAATGTATTTCACTCATTCTGACGCTCAAGTTTATATCCCTGCTTTCTTGGGTATTTGAATCGTAACCCTTGGACTATGCCTTCTAAGTATTGTTTTGTGAAAGTTTCGTTAGAATTGTAAGGTCAATAAAAATAGCAGTAGAAAACATAAAATTCCCAGCCCTGCTTCCATTTGCTATTTGAGACCATGAAAAACCATTTACCTTATTTCAAAAACTAGTGAACTCAATGAGTTGGACTTGTTATTTCTAAAATGTATGAAGAAATGATGTATGAGGGAGAGTGCTATGAGAGCATGTACTGTATTCAGAAATGTATATTCTCCACTTGAGGCAAGAAAGGATCTTTGTTCTCTACCAGGGCCACACTTCAGAGGAAAAAAACGAAAGCAAAGGTCACAAGGAGGCAGAGGAAGCTATGAATCATGAAACTGAAGCCATTATCATAACATTATAAGATTCTAGATTTTTTGTAACTTCCCCGTATTTGTTATTTATAATTCATTTGCCTCATAATAATCAGTACAATTACTCAAAATCAAAGACCCAAAGGGTATCTTTGGGGCACTAAAAGTAGGAAGTTAAGACAACTACATTCCATATGCAAACAAAGTCTCAAAGGAGACGATCTCCAAATAATCAAATGGATTATAATACTAAGTAAAGAGGGAGCTGGCTGCATCCCTTCATCCTCTGACAAGAACCATGACAATTACAAAAAATAAAGATGAAAATATGTAAAAGAGGGGGGAACCCATTAACCTGCAGTAGGAGCCCAAATGAAAAGAATTGTGTCTACACACACCTATCATTCTCGACACAATTCTTTTTAGTAGCTATCACATTTTTTCTACACACACACGCTCACACACCATACTTGGGGTTCCTTGACATTATCTTACGTAGAAAATTACTAAGTAAATAATCAATTTGACTAAGTAGGGGGGCTTATCGTTTTCTCCCTATTCGAATTAATGAAAAAGATAAAAAACTTTTATCTATAAAGATGATTCTTGGTTCCACAATGCTTCTTAACAGAAATAAACAATAATCATTTTTTAAAATAACAGCTAAGCATTGTACATTTAAAAAAAATAGTATTTTGGTTTGTACAAGTATCAATGGGTCCCATTCATCATTTAAGTGCCTTTTCAAACAGGATCTAAGTTTGTAATGTTAGGTAATAGGCATATAGGCTGAAGCCAGACTGCCAAGATTAAAATTTCTGGCTCTGTCCTTAGTATAACTTTGGGTATCTTTCTTCCTTTCTCTGCTTCATCTATAAAATGAAAACAGTAACAATTCCCACCTAAGTGTCGTTGTGATAACTAAATGAAATAGTGTGTGCAATGTGCCAAGCAATTTCTGGAGCTACCAAGTACTTTAAGTTCAAACTAAGTTTGGTTACTTTCACATTATAAAGGAATTTTTAGGAATCACCTAGGCACTCTCCTAAAGTCTCAAAATAACTTAATACAGTACTTTTAAGGAGTTCAAGTGCCTCCTTATCTGGGACGCCATCTCAGATGCTCTTCAAATGAAAAGTTAACTTTTTCCATTTTTTTCATAATCCTTCACAGGAATCTGAAGTACACTGCACTCACGGGCCATTCAGCTCCGCCTCTCCAAGGAACAAGAAGGTAACTGAGTAACCTGGTCACGGAGCAACCCCGAGTCCCTGCGGCTGCTCAGTAGTCACTCAGGATGGGGATGGTACAGGGGACCATTAACCGAGCCGGCAGGAAAAGTTTCCAGGTGAGGCGACGATAGACAAGAGTTGCCCCCACGGTAAGCGAAAGTTGAGTGAGAGGAAGCACAAACGCATGGACTCAACCAGCTCGCCCAGATTCATCCTCAGGCCTGTTGCCATCTGGAAAGGGCCTATCGGATGCGCGACATCACGTGTGACGCGTAGTCATTTTCCCACGTCCCATCCCTGCCCCCTCCTTGTCGGACTCAGTGGATGCGCACGCGCAGCTCCGCTTCCGGGAGCCGCTCCTCGCTACCCACTATGCTCTGCGACATCGACCTGTCGCAAAGGCCGCGTTTGCGGGGCGAATGAGCGACTCGCTTTCCGTGCGGTGCGGCGAGTGAGGCCCCCGTCCTCCTCCTCCTGCCGCAGGGCCAGAACCCCTGACAGTATTCAGCTGCGCTTAAGTCTGGCCGGTGTCATCTGTCTCCGCAATGCCCCCGAAGAAACAGGCTCAGGCCGGGGGCAGCAAAAAGGCGGAGCAAAAAAAGAAGGAGAAGATTATCGAAGTGAGTACCCACCCCTCCCCCACTCGTGCCGCGAGCCCTCCGGAAAGCCACTTCCCCGCTCCGGGCTTCCCTGGGAGCCGGCTCTCTTCCTCGGGCCACGTGTTCTTCCCTTAAGGTTTGTGTGGCCCACTGTCCCTTCTCCAGCCCCTGATGACGCTAGCTGTCTCTCATTACTATAGTGACGCTGCTGGCGCCCCCGCACCTGGGCTTTGCCTCTCTGCCCACACGCCGGTGTTCACCCACCCATGCACCCGGGTGCTAAATGACCCCTCGGGACTGCCACAGGGTTTTATCCTTCGCTAGTCCTCAGAATTGAGGAGATTTTCCAGGGTTGTGTGTGAAGAAATTCGCTGAACGGTCTTGGGCCAGCGTCTTTCTGGAAGACCGACTCATGACGAGTCTTTGTGTTCCTTATTTCTTTACCTGTCACCCAGGGGTGGTACTGTGCTTTCGAACCAACAAATTACTACTTGGTGTCTTTTTCCATCCACCTTTGAACTGTTTGAAGTTCCATAAAGAATGGAAGGACTTTCCATCACAACCCAGGGTCTTGAACGCAGCGCGTGATACTTGTATTCTGAAGTGGATTAAATAGAATAACGCCTTAAAAGAGATTAGGTTTCAGTGTCACTAATTGTGTGACACTGTTTGAGATATATATGTGTGTGTGTGTGTATATACGTATATACGTATACATATGTGTGTGTGTGTGTATATATATATTCGTTTAACACATTGAGCCTGTAGCCCTTTAGTGGCCAAGGAACCCTATTGATGTTCTTACATGTTCTGCACTTGTTTTCCAACAACTGAATTGTGAGTTTCCTTAAAAGATGAACCATATTTGACATTACATAAACATACCATACAGACCCCAACGAGGTATTTCTTCCCTCTATTTCTGCTATTAACCCTCCTCGTAATTAAATAGGACCTCTTGTACTTTGAATATAATTAGAAAAAGCCACGACCATTTCACCGCATAAGGTGTAAAGTCTGCTCATTGGATTTAAGAAAATGCTTAAGAATTTTAGTGTCCTTGGCCAAGTTCAACTTTGAAGCAGAACTGGTATTCTTATTGCTAATTTGTACAGTTTAAAACTGTCATGAAGTACTATAGCCAGACCCTTACAAACAAAATATTACCTTCACATCTGTGTTTTCTATTACCTTATTTGAACAACCTGGATTCGTGGCACTTAGGTAAATTTCAGGGATTTCTGATCAGATGGCATTCACTTTTATGAAAACCAAGTACCTTTTAGGGATGTTGTTTTCCTTGAGTTTGGACCATCGTACAAGGTAAGACTTCCATTGAAATTAAATGTTATGTAACAATTTAAACAATTTAAATTATACTTTATGCATTGTAGGGCTTTCTCTATATCTAATTGTTTTATTTTTAATTAGTAGAACTAGTATTTTTATTTTAAGGAATTACATGTGAAAGTTGTTTATAGTATCCATCAACTTTTAAAATGATGCTTTTGTTATGATTCTAGTCATCTTGTGACAGTTATTAGGTAAAGAGAAAGCAATTTTAGTTTCAATAATGAAGATATCGCCAAAGAGAAATGCAAAATAAGACAACTGCACTTTTTTAACTAAAAATATCCTAACAAAGTGGTGAAATTAAGCCTGATTCTGTGTTTTCCACATTTAATATAATGTTTTTAATTTATTTTTTGTTGAGGTATAACTTATGTAAAAGAAAATGTATAGGTTCTAGATGTGTAGTTCTGTGTGTTTGAGGAATTTATTCACCCAGGTAACTGCCACCCTAATTAAGACTTGAAACATTTCCATCACCCCACTAAATTTGTTTTGTGCCTCTATTTAATTCTTTCCACTCGTGCAGCCACTAATTTTTTTGACAGGATAGATTAGTTTTTACCACTCTAGGAATTCGTATAAATTACACAGTAGGTAGCCTTTGTGTCCTTCTTTTTGCTTTCACACCACGCAGCGTTTCTGAGATCTATCCATGTTGTGTATACTTCGTATGTTCCTTATTGCTGAAAAGTATTCTCTTGTATGAGAATCATTACAATATGTCACCTTTTGTGTTTAGTGTCTCTCTCTACTTGGAAGAGCCAAAAGATACTATAATTGACGCTTGAAGAACAAACTTAGGATTTCAAATTGGGTTAGAGGCAGTATTGGTTAAAATCTTGGCAGCCAGAATGAATTATTTTGTGGCTAATGGAGTCATCTGTAGGGACCTCAACCTTGGGGCATACGCTGAGTTGGCATGAGAGTGTCCAAACATCTGTATACATTAGAGCTACAGGATAGGCATCATTAGGAGATCCGTGTGCTGTGCCTGTATTTCTCTTGGAAGGACTGGTCTTAACTACACCCTCAGGTAATTGCAGTTGTTGAGCTTCTTGCTTTTGCTGAATATGCTTGCATTTTGCTTTCTTGTGTTTTGTACTATCATTCTTTAACCTAACCTGCAGTACCGTTGGACGTATGTCTTTGAGGCCATTTCTTTCTGAAGACTGAGATTTGGGTATGGGTTCTTAGTGAACAAGATGTTCAGATCTTCTGTTTGTTTCTCAGTGATCATAGTTTGTTTCCTTTGAAATGTGTCTGCTTGCCTTTAAGAAGGTCCTCCTAGCCTGACATCTTGTAATCTAGATGTTCTTTTATGTTCCGGTCCAGGGACCTGATGAGCTTTTTCAAAAAATATTGCAATAAAGTTTTTCAAACTCATGTGCAACATTAATATTTGCTACTACTGGAGAGGTACAACAGTATTTTGAATTGTAGTGTTAAGTTACAGCATTTGTGAAATTAGATTTATAGAGACTATTCTGTTAATCCAGCCTGGTTAGGAAATGATGTAGTCTGCTTCATTAGACAGGCAACTTTTTTTTTAAACTTCCCTGAAAGCCTAGCACGTCTCAGTGACTATTCCAAGAAGATAATTGATCTCTGTGGCTGTTATAATTTTGGAGGGGGAAATACTACTTTTTTATAGTCTGTTTTGACATATAAAGACTGATACTTATTTCAGAATCTGGTTAACTTTGGGAGATTTTATAGCTGTATGACCTGAAATTCTAAATTGCTCAAAATTAATAGTTAACTAAAACATGTATTTTTAAACAGCATTTTAAATAGACTTGAAAATAATGGTTGCCCTACCTACCTCTTTCCTCTTCTGTACCTGTTCTGCTGCCACCTCTATGGACCCTCACTGTGGAAAAATCAACATGCAGGTTTTGGGAACACTAAGGAAGTAAAAACATCAGATAGCACTAGCTTTGGAGTCAGAGACCTGGGTTTGAGTCCCATGTTTCAAATTACTAGCTCTATATTTTTAGACAAGTTACAAAATCTAACTGGACTGCAATTCTCATCTGCAAAATGCAGCTAGTTCCCGTGAGTTAAATGAGATAATACATGTAAAGTGCCTGCCATATGGTGTGTATATTCAGTAAATGGCAGCTATTGTTATTGCCTATTTTGATAGTGTATTCTAAATAAAAACGGGGATATAATCAGGCCGATCTGCACTGTTTATACAGTGCTTAGTTTTTGCCCATTTTTAAATACTGCCTCCATTTTTTTATTTGCCTCTTCAAATGCCCCAAAACTTTTTGAATTCATTTGTATTATTAATGCTTTGCGAAATGAATATGTCAAACAAGTTTATGGTTCTGTTAGAAATTAACACATTAGTCCGAAATGGCATATGCCATTTGCTTTCTTACAACTAAAATTTAGTGACAAATGGAGTCAGCATTGAGCAATAGAAAGTTTGAATATGGAAAGAGGGAAATAATCTTGGGCTTAGGGCAAGCAAATAAAAGATACCCAGCTAAGAACTTGTATCAGCAAGGAAATAGTAATAGGATCCTATAGAGACAGGATCCAAGTGTTGTGAAGGATGGAGCAAGAGAAATTGGTTGCCATTGTAGAACAGCTGCCAACAGCCAAAATCAAATGTTGATTACTTGAAGGTGGATTAACCAGTTGTGTAATATATATTGCATGGATGGACAACAAAAATACATTAGTGCATGTGGGAGAAAACTAACGAGATAAAACAGTGACAACCTCTGCCTACCTGAATGTCCCAAGAGGTGGACTCCCATTATCTTGGAGCACTATTCAGCGTGGACCTGCCCTTCTGCTGCTTCCCTTTTCCAAACATCTTATTTAGGGAGTGGACGCTGGCCCGTAAAAGGAATGGGATTACTTAGAGATGGGAGGGGAGTTTTAAGAGAAGCCTGGAATTCACTGAGTGTTAAGGCTCTTGGAGCCTCAGGAAGTCGTCCTTTTCTTACTACCCACTTTCTAGACTCCTCTGTATTCATTTCCCAAGTTGTCTTCTGAAACACACATAAAACACAAAGTTCCTTTACTATCACGTTAACTTTTGAGACCTTATTAATCCAATGAGGACCATTATTCCCCTAGTTTTATTTTAACTGTGGTTTGGGTTGACTTCTTTTTTTCTGCCTT